TTGTAAACTTGAGTTTAAAAGTCCTTATTGTGTTCATGATAAGGTATGGTTAGCATGCTTAACGATATTCCTCTTCCAAATCTCAGCACTTTAAAACAAAACTCCAAATTTTTAAACTTGCTTCCCGATAACTGCACATCGCTTTGATTATTTTGTTTTTAATGGAATATGGATGCATTCATGTCAGTTTTAAAATAAACAACCCACATATTTTGGACATCCCTACATACTTAATGCTTTCAAAGTAAAGTAAAAACATTTTATATGCTAACGATATTTGTTACAAGCTAAATTCCAGAAATGTATACAGGATTGACAATTCCTACTGTTTATTTTTTTAAGTCATAAGAAAATATTTATTCATTTTAATTAATCTCCAGAGTGAAATCATGCATTACTCATTTTTGCATTTAAAATTGTTCATATTTATTCCAAGACAGTTTGAAGGTCCAAGAATGAAAATAAATTAGGGAGAATAATGTATAACAGTCATAAAATGTTATGATGTAATAAAGAGCTTAGCTAAAGAAATGTTTTTTAAATGTATACTGATAAATGTGTCAGAATGCATCTGTCAAATTTTGTAGAATGACCAATAGTTTAAACTTTTCCCAGGATTTTAACTAATTTGAATGAATTTAGAGACTTTTATTGAAGAGGTGATTTATTTAAAAATCCAAAGCATCAACCATAAGAAAATTTTATAATAAACATCTTTAAAGCTGCATCTTCCATGCTGAAACATACTACATTGCGTATGTTGACATTTTATTAGATACATTTTATAATGAAGTAATCATAGTTAAAAATTCAAAGACCAGTTATTACCTTATGTAGGTCTGTTGAATTTTGTGGAAAAAGTTGGTAAACCCAGATTAGGTTTATTGAATAGAAGTTGATCCCTATTATTTTGGGAATGCTTGTTGCTCAAGGGACTTGGAGGTTGAATTATCCTATGATTATATGAGCTTTGAGACGCTGAACAGCAGTGGTCATTGTCGTGTTTAGGGTCCCTCGCTTTGTGGGAAAGTGGTATTACTTCAGGAATATACTGCAGATTTTTTCATACGTACAGACAACTTAGTGGACAAGAAACATGGTAAATTGCAGGTTGGGATTTATCAGGTTTCTAAAAGCTGTGACTGCTTTGCTGGGGTACACTGGAGGTAGGAAGACTACTGAAAACTTTTGCACTTGGATTGTGTTTTTAACTCTTATCTTTTTCTTTCATAAAGAATAGTAGATTATCCATTCCAAAATGTCTTTTATCTGATCACAGAGGACAAGCAAATGTGTCTCTTATGATGGTGAAAACAAGGAGTTAATTAATGGAAATAAACTTTTCACAATATTAGACTTTTCAAAATGTGCCTTTTAATCCAGTTGATGAATGAAGCTGCGTATGCTGTGTTTCAAGTAAGTAGACCAAAAATCATATATGTTGATAATCTCACGTGAACATCTAGGTTTTGTGTTTGTTTATTTAAGTCTGTAAAATTCTATATGCCTTCCACCTGTGACTGAAGAAACTGTTTAAACTTGGGAGACTGTGAAATGGTCACCTGAAATGGCCCTTTTTATAGTGCTGGGTATTCCTGCCACCACGGCTTGGGAGACTGTGAAATGGTCACCTGAAATGGCCCTTTTTATAGTGCTGGGTATTCCTGCCACCACGGACAGCATCAAAAGAGGTAGGATTCTTGTCTTCAAGAAAATTGTTCCCCAGAGACAGTTTGCCTCTGTCGGTAGTCATTCGTATAGAGAATTGTCACACTTCATAAAAGCTGAAGAACTACTCATGGCTGACCCTTGAACAACACAGGGGTTAGCGGTGTCAACGACCCACGCAGTCAAAAATCCATGTAAGTTTTGATCCCCCCCTCACCCCCTCCCGACTGTTGACTGGAAGCCTTACCGACAAATAGTTGATTAACAAATATTTTCTTCCTTATATGTATTATTTATTTTTAAAGCTTAGAGGAAAATGTTAAGAAAATCATGAGAGAAAAGAAATACAGTACTGTACTGTATTTATCAAATACTCTGCATATAAGTGGAGCTGTGCGGTTCACACCCATGTTGTTTAAGTGTCCGCTATAGTTTCTTTCTCCTGCTTAGAACTGGTTTTGAGTCCCACCCACTCAAAACTGGGTTTTCCTGGTGTTGTTCATGTGGTTTGTTATTCACACCTGGGGAGATGGTGGTAAATGGTTGTTTTAGTGAGCCTCGCCTTTAAAATTGAGAAATAGTGATTAGCATTAGTATGTCTCTGCAGTTAACTCTAGCAAAAGGTACCTTAACCATGTTTTCAGAATCAAAATGCATCCTTAACCAAAGTTGCTGTATTTGACATTAGAAGTTTCAAAGATGACTGATGGTGAAACCTGCCCCAGAGGTAATTGGACAGGAAGTGGTAAAGTACTTGTAAAGACAACAAAATTAAACCTGGTAAAAGCCCATTATTTGTATACTATGAATTAGCAAAAATTACCTTTGCAAAGCATTTTATGTCAGATTCTGCAGCAATAGTGTGTCCTAGTCAATACCATCTCAAGTATTAACATATTTTTCAGATCATGTGATCCTTATAGTACTACCCAGTGATGAACTGTTTAAAATTTTTTAAAAGGGTATCACATTGTAACGTGTGTGTGTGTGCGCGCGCGCGCCCGCATTAATGTTTATTTTGAGAGAACAAAGGAGAGGCAGAGAGAGAGAGGGAGAGCATCCCAAGCAGGCTCTGCGCTGTCAGTACTGAGCACTGAGCTCGAAGTAGGGCTTGAACTCATGAACCATGAGATCATGACCCGAGCTGAATCAAGAGCTGTGGGTTCAACCAACTGAGCCACCCAGCCATCCCTCCAGTGATGAGCTTTTTAAAACTGTTACAGCTCAGTTTAGTTCTGTATCAGATTCTTTCTCTGTGAACTTTTTGATTACCAGTAACATCTACTATACACTTTAAAGTATATTTTTTAGAATATTCCCACTGGTAAATTAGTATGGGTCACATATGAGTTATTTTGCTAAAGAATATCTAAATGTATTTCACATAGACTTTGACATAAAATGAAAATGGCAACCAAAATAAAACTGAATAAAGTAGTCTCAAACATCTACAACTCCAGATTAGTCAGTCTAATCTAGGGAAGCTGCTTCTCCCAATAGAGCCTTAGTAATATACCTACTTTGGATGCTCTTAAAAGTACCACTAACATTTCTGCCACACCCATATTTAGCTAAAATAAACACAACTAATGTACTTGATCAGAGAAATACTGTAGAACAGGGATGAAATTTATTAGCTTAGATTTGAGACAAAAGAAAAAAACCTCCACAAACCTTTCAACTCGTTTGAAAGGAAGAGATCGATCTTCAAGCAGCATGCCCCCCCATCTCAAGTACATAAGCTGGCACCCAACTGGAGAAATTGGTTATCATTTAGCTAGAGGAAAAGTTGGCTTGTGCGTGTTGATACCCACAACAGAACCATAGTCAATTCTGATTAAAGTTAAAGAAAACACCAAGGTTAAAGAAAATTAGTTTTTACTGTTCCACTGGAAGTCTAGTTTGATTTTTTTTCCCTCCAAGTACCTAACAGGTCATCACTACCAGGAAGGTGATCCAAAACCCATGGTCACAAAAAGGAAAACATAGCCTTCTCAAAGCCTTGTTTCCACAGTTTATCTCAGGGCTTCTGCTAAAACATTACCCCAAACTAGATTACTGTATAGTTTTCAAAAGCTCCATAATCAAATGACAGGTACCAGTTACTGACCCAGGCATATTTTTTTCTAACTAACTACCAAAATGCGTGGCAGAGTAGGTACTACTCCCATTTTAGACAGGAAAAATAAGGTAAGAAACCAGTCTGAAACCAAAATTCATAGAACCTACTTCTCATTCACTTCTGAAGAATTTAAGTAAATAAATAGGACAAACATTTTTCTAACAAAACCACCTTTATTTTTTCATTTTTACTACCAAATACAGAACAAAACTCATTGTGGAGGCAGTATTCACTTGATTTCAACTGATTATGTGGTAAAGGCCTGTGTCCCAGTGCAACCCTACCTTTGTGCAGAAAATGTTCACTTTAGAATAACTTACAAGTGTGCATTCCCTTCACTGTTAGCCTTTTAAGTCAGTGGCACTATTTTAAAGCCAAAACTTTCTTAACTGCTTTTGAAAAGTTAGTATATTTGTATTCAGAGACTACGAGTGAGGAAATAGGTTTTACTTTTGGGCTTAACCACATGAGACTGCCAATATTTTACTTGTGTTTTGACTTACAAAAATGGCAATGTCATATGATTGAACCTTTACTAAAAAAGAGTTTTCAAAAGTTTAAACAAATGTCATTTGTGTTCAACTTTTTGTTTAAAAAGTGCAATGATTTAATAGGACCATTACTAGAACTTTTTACTCACTATAGACAAAATTCCTTTGATAAAATCTTTAAAAAGTTACTACAAACTGTAAAAACAATGCTGCTTTTCTATATGGCATTTTAATTTTAAAAGTTAAAAAAAATTAAACTTGCATAAAAGCTACAATTCCAAGTCCCATATTCTCCTTAATGCCAGCAAAACACTACTCATTTCATAAATGAATAAATATACTATTTAGTACTGTACAGTAGATACATACCATTGACAGTTTCTATACTATTCCAGAAAAGGCAAATATTTATATTTCACTGAAAATATAAATTTACTAGATAATAGGTGGGATCATTTATCCTAAAGTTAACTGCTTTACTCAACCCCATTCCTACGTCCAGAATATGAGAAAGAAAATTATACTAAGACTTTCAGGTAGAAATAAAACCAACTTTGACAATTCTGATGGCAACTAATCTCTACAGTGAAGGATTTCATCTCATTACTATAGTTCAGTATGTGGATTGAAAGGGGAAAGAACTTGATTTGTAAAATGAATGAGGTAAATGTCATACATTCAACAGTGTAAATAAATACAAGTACAGTTTTACAGGAACATGAACATAAGTTTAAGGGTTTTATTATCAAAGTCTTGTAAAACAATTTCAGAAACTGTACATCAACATGGCACAGACTGTAGCCTACTTTTGTTTTTACTGCACAAAAGTGAAGCTTGAAACTCCTGTAACTAAGAAAAAGTTGCCTAACTACTTTGCATTTAACATGGAATCACTGTGTGCATAAGATTACTACTGCAGTAACAGTAACACAAATTTATTGGTTTTTATACAACTTGAGATCAAATAAAAAGTACATTATCAAGTAGATTTGTCTCATTTTAAAAGCATATGAAGGTCAATTTAAAATGCACTAGCCCCTTTTTCTAACACTGAGATTAAAACAAATTAATAAAAGGTGAAATTGAAAATCAGGACAAGAGATAACTTTTCTTTTACAGACGGACTCAGGATAAGCAGAAGCTTTCACTGATGTAGAGGTGGAATAAATTATTTCAGGAAAAAAAATTCCCAAACACCTTATGAAAAAGTATACAACTCTACTTCAAAATATGCTATTTACTCACTGCCAAAGACAGTTTCATTTGAAATCTGGTTTCTGTAATTAAAGCCTAATCAGCCATCAAAAAAGGTTAGTGCATGTATAACCTTTCAAAGTTAAACAAAAGCCACAAAAATTTAGCCACAAGGCTTCACGGATTATCTATTTCAAATGTTCATTTTCAGATGTAACTGTAAGAATGTTAATTTGTCATGTCAACAAACAAGACCATAAGTAGATCCATCGTGTTGGAGGATTTTAATGACATTTAGGATATTCCTGCCACAATTAACATGCAATCAGTGCATTCCCTACATGGCTCTATTACGGCAATGAATCAAGTTCTAGAAATACTAAGTGAACTTACTTAATAAAGGAGATCATACAACATAAACAATCCATGCCTGCTGTAGATGCATGCAGCTTTTCATTTTTGTTATGAAGCAGCACCAGAATAGTAAGACTGCTTGGATACTCAATCAGATTTCACCATGTCAAGAATTGGTTACTCATGTATCATTTTCTAAAAGCTTTTGGATGTAAATAATATCAATTATCAGGAACTTTATAACCATTTATAACTCAGAGCTGTATACATCTAGGTTTGAGATGAACAAGTACAGCGTTAAGAAATCACACAAAGGAATGACACTGATGCATGTATACAGTTGGATTCCCATGGAGGCAATACTCAGTCACTCATATCCATGTCTTCTTCATGATGATCATCCCCATTCACTTTGGATTCTCTTAGTGAATCACCAGTTCCCTTTTCCACAGAACATTCTTTTGTTTTAGGGGAACTTGGTTCTGTTGGCTTCTTCTCCTCTTTTTTTTCTTTCTCGCTGTCATACCCTTGTTCCTCTTCATCATAATCCCGTGTAACCTGCTTTGCCAAGGAGAATAAAGAAAGTAAACGTCTTCACAGAAAAATCACTTTTTAAAATTACCAGCACTACCCTAAATTACCACAGTAAGTTAGTTTGGAAACCTACTTTTACATCTTTATCACTCTCCGATTTTCTTTCCCGATCCTTTTCCTTATCTTTACTTTTCTTCTTTTTGCTTGTTGAACGTTCTCTTTCATCTCTGCTTCTTTCTTTGTCTTTATCTTTCTTCTTCTCCTTTTTATGTCTAGGATGATAGTAAAAAATCCTCAAAACAAGATGCTTTAAAGGAACCACTCAAGGTTTCACCCTTAAGAGTAGCAGTTAAATTTAAACTTCAGATGGTGAGCCTGACCCAAGTTCATATGACATGAAGAACAACAAAGATCCAATGTCAAAATACCAGATACAAGCTGTGCACAAGTAATACAGACTAGAGGACTGAAACTGGGTTACAGGTCTAAAATGCCCGCTCCCAAACAGTGATTATTATAACACAGTCTCAAGCATAAAGTGAATGAATGTAATAGCATGTTCTTAAGCGCTTCAATTCTTTGATAGGGAAGGAAAAGTCTAGTTTTATTTTTCTCTACGAGAATTTTTAAAAATAACGGACAATTTCTGAAATACAGAAAAGTAAAAATCCATAGGACTAATATTCTTACCTCCTAGGGGATGGTGAGCGAGATAATTTCCTTTTAGGTGACCTAGGCTTCTTAGGAGATCTTGTGCCACTCCTACTTCGTCGTCGTCGTCTCTCTCTAGAACCACAAATGTGCAAACTAGAGTTTAAAATACAGTATTATGTAAAATATGCAGACACATCATAGCAGATGTGCCCATGAGGGAGCTCCACTAGGAAATCCTACAACAGTTTTTGGTAATGAAAAATCCATTACTTACTTTCACTTTTTTTTTTTTCAAAGATTTTAAGTAATCCCTATACCTGAAGTGCGGCTCGAAGTGACAGCCCCGACATCAGAGTGCTCCACAGACTGAGCCAGCCAAGCACCCCTGAAAGACCCATTTTCAAATACTGTTTTGGGGTGAAGAATCAAATAATAAGCACCTGTAATTCTTTTGCACACTGTGTGCTTTTCCTGTAATGTCCTCAAGAAAACCTTAAATTTTCTTAAAGACAAAAGGGCTAATTCATGAGGAAAAAGTCTGAAGTAAATTAATTCAGAAATTGACTTCAAATTCAGTGGCTAGAACAGTCCTAAGAATATGTTGTGATACGAAAGTCAATTACTAATAAAAGTTACTTTTCTTAGGTAAAATTCAAGGAGTTAGTAATAACAGAGATCAGACTAACTCCACATACTCCAACCAATCCATGTTGCCCTCAACCCTGCTATGAACAATTATTTTTAAGATGTATATAGCCGTTCCCATTTTTAAAACTGGGTTTGTTTTCTTTTTTAATGCTTTGTCTCTCATTATTCTGAAAACTTTTAAGACTTGCAAGATGACCATTATTATAATTCAGGCACAAAAACTAATCAAAACCCCACATTTTCAGTTGTCTTTTTTTAAAAAGCTTTTTGACACTTAAAGTCCTCTGTGACCTCTATCTCCAGAAACATTACACACAACTTTTTGTTCATCAAATATTTATTAAGCTTGTCAATTTGGTAAACATTGTTACCTTTATGTGTAACCAAAACTCCACAAATACTCTGCACAGAACAGACCTTTTCTATTTGTCACACAGTAAGTATACAATAACAACTTCACATGTATCAGTACACTTCATTTCTTTTTACTGCAAAATAGTAGTCCGTTGTATGAATACACCATTTTGTTTAACCATGTTAATGGACATTTGGGTTAACTTGAGTTATTATGAATAATGGTGTTATAAACATTCGTGCAGAAGTTTTTGTGTAGACATTATGTTTTCATTTCTCTTGGGTGTATCCCTAGGAGTGAAACTGCTGTGTCAAGAAATTCAAACGTTTTAAGGCATTCCCATTTTCCAAAGTATCTGCCCCATTTAAAAATTATTTTCAGAAGACTGCAAGGGGGGAAAAGGCAGCGTGAGGGGAACGGAGGATCTGAAGCAGGCTGTGGTACTGACAGGCCGACAGCAGCGAGCCCCATGTGGGGCTCAAACTCATGAACCACAGGATCATGACCTGAGCTGGAGTCAGAAGCTCACCAACTGAACCACCCATGTGTACCTCCCCCATTTTACATTCACATCAGCAACGTTCAGAGTTCCAATCTCTCCACATTCTCACCAACTGCTAGTTACCATCTGTTTTTTAAAATAGGACCATCCGAGTGGGTGTGAAGTGGTTTTGATTTGCATTTCCTTGATGACTGATGCTGAACATCATTTCATGCACTTATTGGACATTTGTTTACTTCTTTGGTGAAATGGCAGTTCAGAACCTTTGTCACATTTAAATTTGGTTATCTTTCAATGATTCTGCACTTGTTCTAGATACGAGCTTCTCACTAGTTACACAATCTGCAATTATCTTCTAGCACTCTGGATTGTCTTTACTTTCTTGATAGTGTCCTTTGAAACACATTTTTAGTATTGATGACCTCTAACTTATCTACATTTCTCTTCTGTTGCTTATGCTTTTGGTGTTTTCTAGTAGGAAACTACTGCCAAATTCAAGACCATAAATATTTAATTCTATGTTTTCTTCTAGGAGGTTTCAGTTTTAGCTTTTAAATTTAGGTCTTTCATCCACTGAATTGTTTTTTATACGTAGTGTCGGCCTCCTAGTGAATTTAACCATCAAAATTAAAGAATCCAAGACTGCAGCAAGATGTGTCAATGAGACTGGAAGAAAATGGAAGTATGCCACCCTTACTACTAGCACATGAATTTTATAGTAAGTGTGAAAAAATATATTTTCTGTAAAGTTGCAACATTGAATTTTCACTATGACAGATTAAAGGCAATTATTAGTCTAAGAAAGCCACAAATCAGAACTTATATGGACTCTCATTTTATCAATAAACCACCAAATATGTGTATTTTTTAAGTATGACTTACTATATAATAAAAATGAATTTAATGTAGCAGTTCAGTACACACTAACATTAAAACTTAGGTGTTAGGAAAAGAACACAAACCAAATCAGGATGTGAAATGTATATGGCAAACCCAATAGAAACTGACCTTTGTTGAATTTCATATCACATCAAATAGAACACCATAAAGTAAACAGAACTTTAGGTTCTTCAAAATTGCCTTAAAAAAACTTCAACACTGAAGTATGTACTGATGCACTAGAAAACATTTAATGCTCACAGCCTACTATTCTTACAAAGTTTTAAAAGGTGCCAAGAACTCTTAATACTGCCTTACCTGCTTGCACTTCTGGAACGTCTGGCTGTGCTATAACTTTTTGGTGGTGTTTTGGAACGTTTCTTTTCTTTATCTTCTTTCTTTTTGTCTCTAACAGATGAACACAATTTATGAATGCATAAGAAGATTCAGCCAATATAAATATAGTACTACAAATAAAAAGCACAATGAAATCTAATCCCATTCTAAAAACACAGAAATAATAGTTTAAGTGGCATATTTGTAGTAAGTAACTTAAAAAAAATCCCATTTTCCTGGTATTCCACATAAAACATTATATGATAAGATAATAAAGGATGATGGCTAATTTCTTGGTGTATCAAGCAATAAACACCAACAGTTTTAAAAACTGTCTCCCCAGGCTCTGCAACACTTCTTCTCTCAGCTGATTACCAGTTTCCCACCAAACCATGGCTCTATGTCCCCCACAATGTGCCACCAAATTTAATGTCAACATTACTAATATTCTTCCAAAGCACATACTCTGTTGTTAATCTTTACCATGGACCAAGCCAACCTTTTACTTTTTTCCCTGCTACATATTCTGGCCTATTCATAGCTGTCAGAAAAAAAATCCCATCATAATGGGCTGTTACTACAACCATACCTCAATTTCTCCAAGACTCTGGGCAAAAGGTAATAAATGTCTTTGTTGAATGAAGTCATTTACCCCCATAAACATATACAAACCCATCAACTATTCTATAATTTTAGACATTTAAGCATCCCTTTTTCCTCTTTAGCTATTTCTCCTACGCTACAGTTTCTATTTCGCTCCTTCCCTTTTCTGGTCACCCTGTTTCCTTGAGTTACTTCCTCTTTTCATTCAAGTCTTCATCATCTAATTTCCAATTACTGTAACAGTCCCTTAAGGAGACCCAGTCATGTTTCCACAAACTGATTCTCTATCAGAAATCTTTTCAAAGAAAATCTGAAAATAATAGCTCCTGATCCCATTAACTTTTTCATCTGGAAACACTGCCTCCTTGATCAGGTGCAAACCTCTTAATGTGAGCAACACAGCCATCTGTGTGCCACCTGTCTCCTTACACTTTGCTGACCTCATTTCCTAGTCCCCCTACACCAAAATACTTTTCTAAGAATTTAGGCTAACTTTGTAAACCACATTCTATACTTGAAATCATGCTCCAGAGTCCAGTCAAATTGTTACAGGGCTGGGTTTTTTTTTTTTTTTTTTTTACATTTTTAGAGAGAGAGAGAGAGAGAATGGGAGCATGCAAGTGTGCAAAATGGGTAGAAGAGTGAGAGAATCTTAAGCAGGCTCCACATTCAGCACAGACCCTGCCATAGGACTCCGTCCCACAGTGCTGGGATCATGATCTGAGCCTAAATCAAGAGTTCACCGCTCAAACTGACTGAGCCACCTAGACGCCCATCAAATCTGTCAAAATTTAATACTCAGTCACTTCTCAAATCTCTTCTAACACAACTAACAATAAGTCCTTGGTAATTACATTAATTTTTCTTATATAAAGTTCCTTGAGGGAAAGAATGCCCAATTCCTCTTTGCGTGATAAAGGTTCCATTACACAAGTTTGTCTGATTTACTGCATTAAGATGACTCATTCTGTAAAATATAGTAACAAAAGCCTCCTTTCCCAGTTGAGTTATATATTTACCAAAATTAAATTCTTTAGGACTCCAGTCTCTTTATTAATTACAAAATTAAACATCTAAATGGATAATAGTCTGAAATAAAAGGTCTGCTTCTAAATATTTAAGTAAATATTTTAGAAAGAGATAAGGACAGCTGCTAAGAAAAACACTGTGAAACTGTGACAACTAAAATTTGAGGGAAAAGAGTAAAATTTACTCACTTTTAAAATGTGACAGTGCTCTTAACACTTTAAAAGTGGTTCAAATAAAAAATGAAAAAGTAAAAACCAAAACAACAACGATTTGGTAGATGTTACTCAAGACAACATGTTAAGTTAAAAGGGTCTGGCCCTAAATGAAAAAGACTACTTACTGGATGCTTTTTTAGTCCAAATAAAATGTTAAGGTAGGATGTTTAATGATTCCTCAGCTTTAGTCTTCTGCTGGTTCCAAATCATGGGATGAGTCACTAAGTATGATTCAGCAATTCTTAATAATTGTTATAAGGTGCTGATAATGAGATTTGTAAACATGAGTTAAGGCATGGCTGTCTACCATGAACTCTTCGGCATACCAAAAGGAATGGCTAGTTAGCACCATATCCTTAGCAGAGTTGAGTGGAAAGAAGGAAATGAAAAAAGGCAGTGGGATAGTTAAGAAATTTTACTACAAAGAAACATTATCTAGGTTTTCAGCTATAAGGAGAAGCCTTACGATTACAAAGGAGCACAAGAAAACCAATGTCAGCCTCCTCAAACTTTAGAGTTTCTTCTCCAGTCTAGCCCTATCTCCTTTCACCACCTCTTTGTCAATAAGTAGCAGTGTATTTAAGTCGTGGGAAACCTAAACTTTGTCTTCACCCTCAGTGTCAATGGTCTACTGTACCTGGTTTTAGATGTGCTTCTTGACCTTCTGCCTCTCTCTCTGGAATGAGATCTTCTCCGTCTTGGACTTTTGGATCGTCGTCTACTCCTTGACTTAGAATGTGATCTCCTTCTTGATCTGCTTCTTGACCGCCTAATAATCCAAAAGAAAGCCAACACACAGTGTAAATGTAGAAAGACTAGCTCTGTGACTGTTTCATTTAGCATCAGACAAAAGATTCAGACATAGGAGTTAACCATCAATAAGTATGTGTAATTTTCTGTCAGTTGCTGATACTATTTATTTAGTCCATAAATAAAATCTTCGATACCCTAGAAATACTTTTTTTTCAATGCCTGGAATTTCTCACCTTACTTGTCAAAATAGTCCTCCTATGCCCTACAACTCTGAGCCTAAAAACAGTCCTAGAGGATGAAGGAAAATAAGAAATATCTAATTCATTTGCACTATCTTCCACAACTACATAGAATTTTAGCATGTATCTTATGTGAATCCTTACTACTGCATGTTAAATATATTTATCAATTACCAAATACTTAATATTCTTACTACATGCCTCACAAAGACTCCTCCTCACAATAAGCCTGTCAAGTAGGTACCATTCTTACTCCCATTTTATAAATGGAAAACACTTAACGTGTTCTTGCCACCTATGATTTCTAGTTGTTTTCTGAAATATTGCACTTCTTTAATTTGCAACTTTAGAGATATCCGAGCAATGCAGACTTATATAGATATATGCAACTCAGCGAAAACTGTCTCTTTGACTCTCACTTCCCATTAACATTATCACTAACTCTAAATGATCACCTCTTTCTGGTCCTGTACCAGATTTTGTGTCCTCTCCCTGTCTACCCCCCATTCTACACACTTTCTCTTCCAGAACTTAAGCACAATTAACTTTTTGATTGGTCTTCCTTCTTAATAAATTACATCTTCTGCTTAAGATTTTTCTTTTAAAGTAGGCTTCATGCCCAGCACAGAGCCCAATGTGAGGCTTGAACTCACGACCCTGAGATCAAGACCTGAGCTGAGATCCAGAGTTGGATGCTTATCGACTGAAGCACATAAGAGCCCCAAGACTTTTGTCATTTCATTTATAGGGACCATTCAACTTGTTTCTATGGAAAACTTACAGTCTAAACTTTTTGCATTTACTTAAATGAAAAAGATTTGTGTTCAAATCTCAATCATAAGGCAGAAAATCTAAAACATTCTCTGAGCCCACTGTTTGAACAAGGAAAAACAACAGCACCTATATTACAAGTACTCGTCATTTAAAATGAAATTAAAAAGTTCAGCTCTGGAGTGGGGGCGGGTGCCTGGGAGGCTCAGTGGGTTGAATGTCCATCTCTTGATTTTAGCTCAGGTCATGATCCCAAGGCCATGGGATCAAGCCCTGTGTTGGGCTCTGCACTAAGCATTGAGCCTGCCTGAGATTCTCTCTCTTCTTCCTCCTCTACTCACATGCTCTTTCTTAAAAACAATTAACAAAATCCAGAGGTATCTGGGTGGCTCCGTCAGTTGAGTATCTGACTTAGGCTCAGGTCATGATCTCACAGCTTGTGAGTTCAAGGCCTGTGTTGGGCTCTCTGCTAACAGCTCAGAGCCCAGATCGATCGTGCGTGCGTGTGTGTCTCTCTCTCTGCCCCTCCCCCGCCTGCGCTCTCTTAAAGATAAAGATAAAAAATCTTAAAGATTTTTTAAAATCATTAAAAAAAAAATTTAGCTTCGTGTCTTAGTGTAGGTGTACACATGAAATGCTGACTGACTTTCTTTACTCTTACTAATGTGCTAAGATGGCTTCTATTGTCTCATCTAAAACTGCTGTTTCAAAATCTATCCTAAGTGTCTTATCAAATTCAATAAACTTTTAATCACCTATTTTTGACCATATTTGGAAACTACTGTGAACAAATGCTCTCAATATCATGTCTATAACCTAAGAAATGTTCATGTAATGCTTATATACCTTTCTGTAAGATTAAGAAACAGAGTCTGTATGTGTCTCTTATTCAACACTATACTCTGAAGCAACTACTACGGTGCCGGACTTCAATAAAGGGAACTAAGAGTAATTTTGGGTGATACTGACTACAAAATATCAGAATAACCACTTTCTTCTTAAGGATTAAAAAAATTCTGGAAAATAAAAATTGATGTTACTAGAATTATGCACTACTTGTTTTTTGAGGGCTGGATTTAAGAAAAAGTCAACAACTATTTTAGCTAAACTGAGTTATTAACTTCTTTCTCTTGCCTTTAATGTATATAGAAAAAATACAGATGTAGAAAAAATCATAAGCACATTCTTATAGTTTTGCTCTAAACAGAAGTGACTAAGCACATTCTTAAAGTTTCGCTCTAAACAGAAGTGACTAATAATATAATAAACAGAAGTGACTAATAATATAAAATATCTTTAAAAAATCTAATAAGAGGGGTACCTCATCCATCTATTTACTCAGGTCCTGAAACAGTTATTTTTTTTATTTTAAGAGTGATGTGATGTGCTGTAGAGCCACTTTAACTCACTGGTTTATAGGACCTCTTAAAAAAGAAATCAGAAAAATATACAAATTAGCACATTAAAAGTTTGTTCAAAGTAACTGGTCATTTTACATGCCAAGATGCTTAATATGCTACAATCCACAATAACACTGTTAATGAGGTATTATTACAAGTGTCCAAAAACACTTTGTTCAGGGAAACAGCTATTTCACTGTTATTTCCCTCTGGTCATATTAAAGTAATTCAAATTAAAATCTGAGACCGCTACTATGTAGTTGGTATATACAGATATAAAATTAGGTTCTCCTTTTTAACTGTAAACTAAGCTATAAGAGCACGGTCCTGGATGATCAGGATAATAAGTAGTACCAATATTTCATGTCAGAGTAAAATTTTAGCCGATCCTGAACAAACATAAAGGAGTTCCTCAGGTGCAGGTTAAGAGGGGGGAAAGATCATTAGGCAGAAAGGAACATTATGGACAAAAACATGGAGGTATACAGAAAATCTGGTTCCTTGAATACTACTGACATAGTATAAGTGAGTACCAAATATTAAATCTTGTCCCTTAAGAAATGTTCTGTCCAATGAATGCATAAGTCACTTCTCCTATTTATTAAAAGGCCAATGGCTGTTAACAAAGAAACAACTGTTGTGATGGAGTTGTGAGCTTAACTGCTTTTCCCATAGAATATCACCTTTACTTGAGAGAATAGGTCTGACAAACTTGTTTAGACTGGGTACTGGCAGACATTCTCTTGAAAATATGAACAAAGCCTATCATTTCAAAAAAACAAACTTGTTGCTGATGACAACATCTGAGCTTTCAAGAGAAAATTAAATTTTGGAACACGAACCCACTATGGTGAACATGACAGCTTCCTAATACTCAAAAGGGGTTTCATATGAGATGTGTGGTGGTATTACCAAAAGAATAGCAAATGGTCATTTGCAAATATTCATGCATTAGGTGGGTAATCAATCTGTAGGTTGCGTGATGACCTTCCAACTTAAGAGTCTAGAGAAAAGTCAGAACTAGAATTCAAGCCGAAAGCTTTTTCCATAGTACTAACTCCATTCAATGCTCCAGTCCCAGTACCTTCCTCGCATCCCTGGATTTTGGACTTTGAAAGTACTGATCTATTTGGCTCATACCTTTTCTTCATGTACACATATGTGAACTCACAAACTGTGCTAAAGGGCAGTTACTAAAACACGCTTTAACCAAAAGCTAAGTAAGTTAAAAGCAAATGAAGAAGAATGTGAGATACAGAAATTATCTCTAAGGTATAATGAACTACCATAAACAATCTAACCTGTGTCTAGAAGATGAGGGAGTCCTCCGCCTCCTAGAGCGTGATCTTGATCTTGAGTGCCTTCGTTTTTCTTCTTTCTTATCTAGATTTTTACAAAAAGGAAACTGGGTTTAGAAATTATGAAATAAAAAGATCATTCACACTCACGAGTTATTATAAGAATTTCTTTACTGACTTAATTTTTAGACTTTATATATCATTCTTAAATGTTATGTGATTTTATCCAGGCTTTTGGTAAATACAAATTAGACTTTGGATTTTCAGCTCGCCAAAAAGTTCCTTTCACTATTTCATTTTCACCAGATGTGGAACACGGTGATGTAATGTCCATAAGCAACTGATGAAAAGGATTAAACCTTCTCATCCTTATAGATTCCTAAATGAGGAGTCCCTTTTTCCATTCCTAGGTTTACTTTCCCAAATATAGCTATAATTCACCCAGATTAAAACTATTTTCATGTGTATGTAGTAACACCTCCCCAACCAGCAATTAACTATAAGGTACATATTTTTAAAAGATTTATAATAAATAGAAATATAAACATTTCAAATTCTTAGTCCATTAAGATGTTCCTTCTTTCTTTACCACTTGGGTCTATGCTCCTCTGTTAAACAAATTCCTGTAAATTTATGTTAAAGTGGTTGATAAACAGGCTCAATATTTGGCCGTAGATTCCAAAGTCATGATCCATTCACTGTTCTCACTATACTCCAAGACAGAACTGGGTTTCAGTAAGCTAGCTGTCTTACTCTGTCTGATCTCTTCACCACCAATTTTCTTTCTTTTTTTAGTGTTATTATTGTGATTTATTTATTTTTTCTTTTATTTTTTTTTTTTACAAATAGTTTATTGTCAAATTAGTTTCCACATAACACTCAGTGCTCATCCCCAAAGTGCCCTCCTCCATGCCCATCCCCCGCTCCGCCCCACACCCATCAGTCCTCAGTTTTTGTCAGCATTCAAGAGTCTCTCATCGTTTGCCTCTCTCCCTTTCCCCCACCATTTCCGCCCTTCTTCTCCCCCTTGTTCCTCCGTCAAGTTCCTCCTAATCCTCCTATACGTGCAAACATATGATATTTGTCCTTCTCTGCCTGACTTATTTCGCTCAGCATAACACCCTCCAGGTCCATCCATGTTGCTACACGTGGCCAGATTTCATTGTTTCTCATTGCCATGTAGTATTCCATGGTATAGATAAACCACATCTTCTTGATCCATTCATCTGTTGATGGACACTTAGGCTCTTTCCATGTTTTAGCTATTGTGGAGAGTGCTGCTATGAACATTGGGGTACATGTGCTCCTATGCCTCAGCATTTCTGTATCCCTTGGGTAAATTCCTAGCAGTGCTATTGCTGGGTCCTAGGGGAGTTCTATTGTTAGTTTCCTGAGGAACCTCCACACTGTTTTCCAGAGGGGCTGTACCAGTTTACATTCCCACCAACGGTGTAGGAGGGTGCCCGTTTCTCCACATCCTCGCCAGCATCTCGAGTTCTCTGATTTGCTCATTTTAGCCACTCTGACTGGTGTGAGGTCTTCACCACCAATTTTCAATTGTGTTAAGTTTAAGAGACAGATATAGAGTGACTTTGACTCCCATTTCCTCATTTTTAAATAGCACATAAGTAATTCCTTTAACTTGGGACTTAAGAGAAATAAAGCCATTGCATTCTTCATACATGGTCTACAATCAAAGTGAGACTGAAGTCCTCTTTCACATTTAGACCATTTCCTTAATAGGATTCAACTTATTGCAAATGTCAGTATTAGTAACAAAACTCTTGGGGGTGGTGTTTCATAAAGAAACTACTTTTGTAATTCCAGTTATTGGTTTTCAATGAAAACAGGAAGCTACAGCATGATGTTTTAGCTTTGTAGTCATAGATCCACGTGTGTAAAGTTCCTACAGCTTGCCTTATGGCCTTGGATTAGCATTCTGTTGATTAAATAACAGACATAAAGCACTTGGTATTAATTTATCCAACATTAAAATTATTTTCCTAATCCTGAACGCATATAAAACCTTCCCATTTAAGAGTAAAAAATGAGTAAGTTACTTAATTAGTGGGGCAGGGTGGGGGTGGGGTAAATCCGGGGCCAAACATCCAATCTATATAGGCAGACAGTAAGATAACCATTCATTTCATCGCAAAAAGACTTTCCAGAAAGAATAAGGTACTATTTTTAGGTATTTGCTTTTCCTTAAACAAATGTCATAACAGAAGCATCTTTAGTAGGCTCTCTTGGTCAAATCAAAGACTCAAATCAATTGGGGTATCCCAACACAGGCAAACATAAATCTAGGCACTATTATTTCGGAATCCATCATTCTTTGAAGGATGGGGTGTGGTGCCGGTCCTGTACATTGTAGGATGCTTAGTAACAATCTGACCCTCTAACCACTAGATGTAGTTGGTACCAGCATAGCAATTAGGTTTCTCCAAGTATTTTCTAATATGTCCAGGTGACCTGTCCCCTCCCTTTGCCTAGGATCATTCCACTACATGATCTTTTATCAGAATTTGGAAAATTTATTACTCATTAAATTTCCAAGCTTATGCAAAAATCATTTTCGTCAGCAATCAATCATATACTTACAACACAAATTCAACACAGAGGCCTAACATAATTTACCTGGTTCTATAGCAGCAGAAATTAGGGACTGTGCTTCTCGTACTCTCTTCATGGCTTCCTCTATTTCTTTACTAGAGGTATCTGATTTCAGACTTGGTGAAACAAGACCAGCAGCTACATGATTCAACCTGAAACAGAACCAAGACTTGAGATCTGAAATATTTTAAAGTGCTTAACAGTAATTCAAGTAAATGTATAAATGTTTTATATATCATTTTAGGAAAATACTACTTGAAAAAGAGGGGAGAATTTCATCATAATTTTGGTAAAGTCACGACAAATAGTATCCTTCTCAATACTGATGATGGCATCTGCATTTTAAAGATTCAGAGACCTTTGGGATAAGAAAAAAAAACCTGCTTAATTTTGCTGAACATCCATTAACTTTACATAAGCATATGTTGAGAAATGCTAGTACATGGGAACATGCAAATACTGCAGATTTTTGACTGTAGATTATGATTTTGATCTTTTTATATGATTTAAAAACTTTCTAGAGAAGCAAAATTTTGCTGGGGAACAGCATTACTTGTAAGGTTACAGATGGGCAGAAAATGAGGCAGAGGCCAATGGCACACCAAAGTTACTCATGGAATTGCTGACTGGAAAGATGGAGCTCAAGGGTTGACACACATGTGGAGAAAAATATTACAAATGTAGAATAGTAATTATTTGTGAAGAAAGGGAAATGTAAATAAGAATGGGTACAGAAAAAAACTTTTTAATAGTACTGGTTATAAGGTGGGTAGTAGGTACATGTTAAGATTTTATCTAATAGATTTTAAGAAAAAAAGCCACTTTATTTTTTTTTTTTTTTTTTTTTTTTTTTAGGTTTTTTTTTT